TGCATAGTATAAGCAATTTCTTGCAATTCTATCGTGTTCGAAACATAGAGAGGTGGAGATATAGTTCCTCTCTCATAATAATTGCAAGTAGGAGTAGGAAGCACATGCATATTATATTCATCAAAATCAACGGTATAAGGAAACCCATCAATATAATCCTTAACAAGAGCAAACTTCTCCGATGTAGTGTAGTTGGGAGAATTCAAAAGATAATAGGACTATCATGTGTGGGTGCAATAGAAACAATGTTATTCTTAACATAAGGAACTATAGAAAGTTCATCTCCATAAGCATAATTCATATTGGCATCTTGGCCACAAGCATAACAAGCATCAAGTTCATCAAAAAGGGATATTTCAAAAAGGGAAGATGTGGAGCATTCATCGTAGAGAAACAAGTAAAATCATATCTCAAGCATAAATCCCGAGCATACTAATGCAACATATAAATTTGATCCCATAAAAGTTTTCCTTTTTGAGTCAAGCGATAATCCCTAAAGTATTCACATTGATCCAACATTACTCCCATTATCATGTTGAATGGGGTTTTCTCAGAAATATCAAAGTAGAGCATAACATTTTTCACATAACGAGCATCGAGGGTTTTAGGAGGTTCCCCATCTCCATGAGTAGCAAGTACCACTAATTTTTTTGGTGTTTCATGTTCCATATCCGTAACTAAAGAGAGAGAACAACTTAGAATAGGAAATAAAAACTACTTAGTGATAAAGCAAACAAGCACACACAAGAATATTCACCCCACGCTATTGCTCCCCAGCAACAGCGCCAGAAAAAGGTCTTGATAACCCACAACTATAGGGGATCTTTTGTAGCCTTTTTCGATAAATAAGAGTGTCGAACCCAACGAGGAGCTAAAGGTAAAACAAATATCCCCTCACATTCTATCGACCACCGATACAACTCTACGCACACTTGACGTCTGCTTTACTGAAAACAAGTATGAAACTAGTTTGTAGGTATGATGCTAGAACTATTTTGCAAGAATAAAAATAGAAGTACTTTGCAAGATAATAAAAGTTAGGTGTTTAGTAAAAGGGTTTGTGTTAACAAGAAAGTTATTTGTCCCTAGGCAATCGATAACAAGTACCGGTAATCATTCCTGCAATTCTACATGAGGGAGAGGCATGACCTAACATACTTTCTCTACTTGGATCATATGCACTTATGATTGGAACTCTAGCAAGCATCCGCAACTACTAAAGATCATTAAGGTCATGAAACCCAACCATAGCATTAAGTATCAAGTCCTCTTTACTCCCATACGCCATAACCCACCTATCCGCATTTAGGCTGTTGTCACCCCCGCAACGCTGGCAAAAAGCAAACCATGAACATATTGCAACACCATACAGCGAGGGCCCCTCACGTTTGTGCGAGACGGAGGGCACCGTAGGAAAGCACCATAAATAAAATATACAATCATACCAACCAAGATCACGATTAACCCATAGGACAAAACGGATCTACTCAAACATCATAGGATAACTATAGATCATTGGGAAATAATATATGGAGTTGAGCACCATGTTTAAGTAGAGATTACAGCGGGGAGAACGGGTGTTACACTGCTGCATAGAGGGAGAGAAAGTTGGTGTTGACGGTAGCAAGGTTGTTGATGTAGATCGCCATCACGATCCTTGCCCCGGCGGCACTCCGCCGCTACCGGGAGAGAGGGGGGAGAGCCCCCCTCCTTCTTCTTCTTACTTGGCCTCCTTCCTAGATGGGAGGAGTGTTCCCCCTCTGGTCCTTGGCCTCCATGGCGGCGGAGGGGCGGGAGCCCCTCCGAGATTGGATCTTCCTCTCTGTTCTCTTCTATTTTGCATTCCCAGATCTGGCCCTTCATGGTTTCTTAAATTCCCGGAGATCCATAACTCTGGCTGCACTAAAATTTTTGCACGAGTTTTCTTTCATAAATTATCTTTCTTGCACCAGAAAAAGGGTCGCAACCGACCTTCTAGGAGGGCACAAGACACCTGGGCGTGTCAGCGGGTGCCTGGCATGCCCTGGTGGGTTGTGGGCACTGTGGGCCCCTGTTTGCATTGATTCCACCTCCTTAAAATCACATATGTTCCAAAATAATTCTCTGTAAATTTTTATCGCGTTTGGACTTCGTTTGATATGGATTTTCTATGAAACAAAAACATGCAACAAACAGGAACTCGCACTGGGCACTGGATAAGTAAGTTGGTCCAAATAAATCATATAATAAGTTGCCAAAAGTATGTAAAAGTTGAATAATATTGGCATGAAATAATCAAAAATTATAGATATGACGGAGACGTATCAGGCTTCGCCTAAGCACTACGAGAATATGATCGTAGGGTGTAATCTATGGAGGGAGGCACCGCACACAGCTAACAGATATTATTGTGTGTTCAAGGTGCCTCCCCCCCTCATATATATAGGTGGGAGGGAGAGGGAGCAGCCAAGGGGGGCACCCCAAGTAGGAGGAATCCTACTTGGAGTCCCTCCCAAGCCGCGCGCCCCCTGCCATATATAACCGAGGTGGAAGGAAAGAGGGGGGAGAGGGAAGGAAGTAGGAATCCTAATCCACACTTTCCTTGCCCTCACCTCTTTCCTTCTCCTCCTCATAGGGCTGGCCACTATAGGGGCGTACCAGAGCTGGTGTGTTCCCTCACTTGGCCCATAAGGCCCATATCTTTGCCGGGGGTGCCCGAAACTTCTTTCCGGTGACCCGATAAGTACCTGGTACCCTCCAGAACACTTCCGGAGTCCGAATACCATCGTCCTATATATCAATCTTTACCTCGATCATTTCGAGACTTCTCGTCATGTCCGTGATCTCATCCGGGACTCCGAACAATATTCGGTCACCAAATCACATAACTCATATAATACTAAATCGCCATTGAACGTTAAGCATGCGGACCCTATGGGTTCAGAACTATGTAGACATGACCGAGACACCTCTCCGGTCAATAGCCAATAGCGGAACCTGGATGCTCATATTGGCTCCTACATATTCTATGAAGATCTTTATCGGTCGAACCGTTATGACGACATACGTAATTCCATTTGTCAATCGGTATGTTACTTGCCCGAGATTCGATCGAAAGTATCTTCATACCTAGTTCAATATCTTACCGGTAAGTCTCTTTACTCGTTCCGTAATACATAACCTCATGACTAACTCCTTAGTCGTTTTCTTGCAAGCTTATGATGTGTATTACCGAGAGGGCCCAGAGATACCTCTCCGATACTCGAAGTGATAAATCCTAATCTCGATCTATGCCAACCCAACAAACATCTTCGGAGATACCTATAGAGCAACTTTATAATCACCCAATTACGTTGTGACATTTGATAGCACACAAGGTATTCCTCCGGTATCCGGGAGTTGCATAATCTCATAGTTGAAGGAATATGTATTTGACATGAAGAAAGAAATAGCAATAAAACTGAACGATCATAATGCTAAGCTAACAGATGGGTCTTGTCCATCACATCATTCTCCTAATGATTTGATCTCGTTATCAAATGAAAACTCATGTCCATGGTTAGGAAACCTTAACCATCTTTGATCAATGAGCTAGTCAAGTAGAGGCTTATTAGGGACATAGTGTTTGTCTATGTATTCACACATGTATTCAGGTTTTCGGTCAATACAATTCTAGTATGAATAATAAACATTTATCATGAATAAGGAAATATAGAATAACAACTTTATTATTGCCTCTAGGCCATATTTCCTTCAGACAACAATGCATATTTGGTCCACAATGTGCATATCCGACTATGTGATCTAGACAACAATGCATATCCAACCAATTGATGAACACACTTACTTCCTCGAAGATTTGCACACCACTTGGCCACCGTGCTATGAGTTGCCTCAGAGATCTGCATGGTTGGCAATGGCAGCGGGGCTACGCGTCTCTGACTCCGCCCAGCACCACGCCCATCGCCTGCATGTCCGCGGCCACAACCACCAGCTTCGCCTCCACCTGCCTTCTGCTTCTTGGCCAGCACCGCTTTTACCTTTGCTTTAAGGCGGGTATTTTTCCTGTCTCCGAGTTGATCTTCCAAGC